GTTGCCTACCTGGAGAATTTAGGGGTAACATACATCAATGAAAAGAAAGTTGACCAAGGACAGAAAACTGTTCTGAAACATAATGACCGCATAGCGATCACTAAGCCACATCTGACAGGTAGGAATTGCTGCCAACATGATGCTCACAAAGCACATTCTTATTAACAGATCTACTACAGACTTAAAAGTTTAAGCTACCACGGAAAATTTGATTCCACTGGAATAGCACAACCTCAGTGTTTGAGGTGTGGATTTGTCTTTATGATAGTGGTTAGACTACAAATAGTTTTAGTACATATAATGCTGAATGGAGTGAATTGGATGCACGTAGCTCAGGATAGAGTATGGTAGTAGGCTTTTGTGAACACGGCAATGAACCTTCAGGTTCCACAAAGAAAGTGGGCTATTCTTTGACAAGCCGAGTATACAATCGACTTTTCAAAGAACACCTTGCACCATAGGGTGAGTGCGTATGGTGCTGATCCACTTCCTCGCTAGACATCTGCTGACAACTGAGTTCACAGCACTACAAGCTGACAGGTTTTCAGGTGGTCAAGAAATTATTTTAAGACTGGAGGTTAATCACTATTTTCATAAAACCACACCTATTCATTACATGATGTTACCCAAACACCTCTGTCTTTTGCCATGATCTCATGGAAATATTTATTATGCCTGCATAATGAGGTGCTTAAGACACATCAATAACTTTGTATTGACCTTATTTATAGGCCTTGCAGGGGCCCTCTCACCTTGTGGTTACCTAACTGTACATTTCTTGTGGCACTGACCTCATAAAACTGCCAGTCTCCACTCCTGTTATGCCAGCACCTTGTCCTTCCCCCACAGAGTCCATACTCTGTAACACTCTGTTGAAACTGTTGCAGTGTTCGTGTACCTGGACAAGTCACGTTGTGACGCACTGAGCGGAAACTTCCCCGAGAGGATCAGTGAAAAGTACCTGGTATCCTACTCCCTGGGCGAGGGTGGTTTTGGAGAAGTTTCGCTAATATTTGAGAAGGTGAAATGTATGGCAGTGGTGCATATCATTCTGTAACCTTAGTCTGAAACAGTTCCCACTTTTAAAATTTAGGTGGACAAATAGAACATCATAATGTATTTCATAACTTATGTAAACATTATTAAAGTAAGTATTCATTTTGTCATATAGGCAACCATACAATCACTATCCCTTCTTAAATTCATAAAATGTCTGAATGAACCATTTTTATGGTGTTCTTATGTTTCTGTATTGCATCTCATTATCTTAATACTTTTCAGTTTCCCGAGTATTTAACAAGACAGAGAGAAACTTTAGGCTGATAGTCCTATTTGCCCATGCATTACAAGAATTATTGCAATTTTTTATTATGATCTGATTTGTAAACATAAAATACTGTCAAAATGGACAGACTGCAAATGCTACTGATTACAGATCACAGACAGATGGACAAACTGATGTGTGCTGCTTTTGTTCTCAGAGCACAGGCAAGAGATATGCGATGAAGACAGTAAAGAAGCACCCAAATATTCTCAAGTATGTGCACACTGAAGCTGAGATCCTGCGAAAAATCAGACATGTGAGTTATTGTGTGCTTACTTTCCTTCCCACAAAATTCTTCTGACCCTCATAATTTTGTTCAGCTGAAACAGAAAATATATTTCCCTTGTTGGTAGCCCTGTGTCATCAACACAGAGGAGGTTGTGGACACGTCCTCCATCCAGTTCATTGTATTGGAGTTCATGGAGGGGGGTGACCTGTCCAGGCGTGTATATCCACACAAGACACTCCAGGAGGCTCACATAAAACTCATCTTCTTCCAGTTGGTACTAGCGATTCAGTATTTACACCAACAAAATATTGTGCACCGTGACATTAAGGTAGGCTCACATGTTCCACACAAACAAGAGTGGAACAGTTTTAGTTGTAGAACTTCTTACTTCAGGGATGAATATTATCTTGGTGCGGCTGACCAAGTGCAGACATTTGTGATGGCAATGAAACTTCAGATCCTCAGGGAAGACCAGAGCTATGAGGTGCATGATGTGTTACAGAATTGTGACATAAGCTTTATATTCTAAGCCAGTAGTTAATCATATCTTTATTAAATGTAATGTGTAAAGAATATGTTAATTTAACATCACCAATATTCATAAATTACAAGGATATGTACATCGCATCTGTTACAGCCTGCGAACATTCTGCTGACATCTAAACGTCCTGAGACTCTCATAAAAGTGGCAGACTTTGGGGTGTCTAAGATTCTAAGACCAGGCACTGAGATGGATACAAACGTAGGGACATCATTCTACAGAGCACCTGAGGTCTTTACTAACACACAAGTGTACACGAAGCAGGTGGACATCTGGAGCATGGGGATCGTTCTTTATTTTTGGTACGTTCATATAGATACAGGCATGCATTCTGTGCTCAGTAAGAGGAGTATGAAACCACTAACATCTCTTTAATTTTGTGTAGTCTGAGTTCCCAGATGCCCTTTAAAAGAATAGAGGATGTCAAGAGAGGGATTGTTCCATTCTCAGATCACAACTGGCGCAGTGTATCAAGCACAGTGACTAGTCTCATCAAAGGCATGCTCAGAACTGAGCCCACACAGCGACTGGGAATCACCGAGGTGCTGTCTCACTCATGGCTGAAGGTAGGGCTTCTTCAAGAGCTGTCCCCACCTGTTTTTGTAATTAATAAATCCAATCTAATTTGAGGATTTGCAACATTTCACTCCAGTCTTGGGACTTGTTGTTTTCTTCTTTTATTGTGTATAAATTTATTGCCTAAATATCCCCCCCCCCCAGCAAGTGATAAACTCCTTTCTGTAATGGTGTTCAGGATCATCTTTATGACTAAATTACTTAAAACTGATGGCAAGTTTTTGCTTGAGAACTGTTTGCAAATGATAGTTTACAATGTCATAGTGTCACTGCATTCATCTAAATGCACGTCACAAAATATGTAGTAGCACGTGTAAGCAACACAAAACAATCTCAAATAGACATTTTTTAAAATGTATGGTCTCTTCAGAGGTTTCATTTCTATGTTACTGTGATCTCCTTGACTTTATGTGGTTTGCATCTGTGAATCCTCCATCCAATTCGTGCTCATGATTTCTGTGGCAGGATCAGACCATGAGGAGGAAGGCACACAACCTCATGTGGCCTGGGACACCTTATGTTGAGCAGAAGCTGGCTACTCCTAGTCCGTCCTTCCAAAGAGCAAGTAGCTTGAGGCAGGGGCCACGAGGAGTACTACAGTTCATGACTCACAAACGCACTGGGAGTGCACAGTCACTGAACAAAATACCTTCACCACCAGGAACAGGTGAAGGTGCTGAATGGAACCGTCCAATGAAATTAGCAGCCAGGCCACCAGTACTGAATGTTGGCAAAGCAGCCCATCCATCACCAAAACCAGTCAGAAGCCCGGGCAGACCAGCAGCTGTAGTACATTATAAACCAGTGAGAGAAGTCATACGTGAATTTAACAATAAGTAGTCGGCAGAAAGCAGGACATGTGAGGTCACTTTTGTGTATGTGAGCAGTGAATGAGCCCAGTAACTGGCTTGGGTTCACTTCCACCATCTGTTTTCCACCTAATGGTATTTGTTCTACTTGTGCAGAGGATGGAGAGGTCATCTGTGTGACACATCTGCCAGCCTGGCACTGTTACAAACTTCCTTGACAAGAAAGGTCCAAAACACTTAGATAATTCTTGTCAATCAGAACTGTCCCTTTAAATATTTTTGTTTTTTTGGATTTTCATCAAGTTCAGAATGTTATACATAAAATTCTTACGCTTCTGAGTCATAATAAAAGACACTGCTTATCTGAAACCGCACCCTTACTCACTGACGTCTGGATGGCAAGCTGCAGGACACACCCCACTGCCTGTTTAGCTTCACTGTTTATTGCAGGGCTTAAAGAACACACTTCATCTTCACCACAGCATTTTTTTTAATTTCTGATCTTCACCTCACAGTAACAAAGTTTCACATGCAAAACAGACTGTGTAAAATGAGGTCTTACAAGATAATCGGATGGTGGTGTATTTTTCCTGAAGTTAACCAACCTTCATTACAAACAAGCATCTGAAATTGAATCACTGACCATATTCAGGCAAGTTGTGAGGGGCAGGCTGATGAAGGACTACACTGTGATGGACAGGGGCAGGCAATGAATACAGACCATGTTGATCCTTATAGAGATAGAGTTTTATTGCATTCATGGAACTTTACACACTGACACAACCTGCTGTACAGTGTGGCAGGTGGAAAACTGCGTGCAGTTCAGTTGATGTTCAAAACAATTTATGCTATGGTTAAAAAAGAACATGTAACTGATGCTGCAGAGGGTAGAAATGGTGTTCAGCTGTTCAACGAGAACATGGCGCAGTTTTCCTCCCCACAGTGCTTCAAGTCCACGTTAGTCTATATTATAATGTGTATTACTGAGGAACGTGCTCCGTACTCCCCAACATATCTAACAGATGGCTAAAATCTAGGAATTATATGTACTGCTACATACACAGAAATTTTTAAAAAATAAACTGAAGAACACAAGTCGTCATCAGGAATATGTAACAATATGTACATTTAGAATAACATTCGTCTCCTGCCCAGACGAGCCAGAGTGTGCCACGGCACGACTCCTCAATAATTATTAGTCACAGTTTCTGTCCACTAGGAATTGCACGTTTCCCTCGTCCCAAAGTAAGACCAGTTAAAACAAAAATTGGTAATGGAGGAAGGGAATGGTAAACATTCCACAGCACTCAGAGGGCCCTCTAACTAGAACTTAAGTTGGAAATAATGACACACACCTATGGCATCGTTCTATTATAAGGTTATAGCCCGAAAATATGTTTTATGTAAACAGTGTATTTAAAACGATCCATTCCTGGAAAAGACCGCAATCTGTCAGATATTGTGCAGGTGGTTTAGAAAAGAAATCTGACAGTTTTTCATTCCCCCCATAAAGGCATTATGGTTTATTTCTGAACTCAAATGGCAGGTGGAATGTTGTCTACTGTGTTAACATGAGCAACCGTTCACTTCCCACCCTAAAGAACTGCATCCTTAAAATACACCTTAAAATTGTTTGTTTCTTGTCAGTCACACCACAAACCATCTTGCTTTAAGCAGTCTCTAGTTCCTGAAATCAAACTACCAGATTCATCCTGCGAGCCCGTCCATCGTTAGCCGCTGGCACCAGGTTCCCTAGGGAATCTCCAGCGTGCTCTGACGCAACAGACGGGCGTGCCAGCCTTACTGACAAGACAAGAAACGGAGGAGATGAAAACATTACACTATACTACACTAATACGTCTTGCTGCTTGGTGACAACTATTCAAAATTGAGCACCTGACGTCGCTAGTTCCGTCCTTTTGAGTGTGGGTTATGTACATTCCAATGTGATGTCCTGGCAGTGTACGTGATTAGAATAAGTCGCAGTGTATACATACACAACAGTACGCATTAAAAACGATGTCTGGGACTGATATTAGTGCCACTAATGAACCATTCTCACTCACACACACGCGCGCACACACACAATGCACAAACTAATGCTATGACTAGGGGTGGGATATTTTGATTAGTGCACACTCAAGACATGGAGAGAGCTGCTGCCTACACACTGAGCAATTCACAGATTTGTAAGATTTTTGTTTCTCCCAAAGAGGTGGAGGTTCACCATGCTCTCTCGCTCCACCTCACACAAGATTAACAAAACACTATACCACTCCTTGTCCATTCTATTAGGCTGCTTACAGATTAATAAAAAACATTCTTATAGAATTGATAGATGAAATGTCAGACTACAGCGCGTGGTGCAATGGAAGATAATTTTGTTTAGTAGGGATTGTCCACAACACTTGAGAATATACACATGGGGAAAAGGCCCAGGCCTGGAATCGTTGATCATTTTCACTTCATTTTCTGATCTGTCTCTTCTCAGTGACAGGACCGGTGCAGGCTGTGTCGCAGGTAGAGCACGCATGCCTTGCCACAGTCCGAGACGAGGTCGTAAAGCTGCCCCTCTACTCCCGGCACTGCTAGCAGCAGGGGGAGCGGGGCTGACACGGAGAAATTACCGATGTTAAGAGTTTCCCATTGTCAAACAGCGCTGTTCGGAAAGCGTGGCGGAGGGAGCGGGGGTGGGGGCCTGACCGCCGGTACGAGCTCTCGTGAAGAGCGCTCGGAGGCAGCTGAAATGAAAGAAACGACGTCACAAGCGTGCCTCCCTGGGCAGAAGGCAGAGGGAGACAGCTACACACAAACAGGCACAACAACAAACACTACAGCATGCAGGCCGGATTCAGGAAAGGATCGCACATGTCCTCTCATCTTATCTTCACAATAACTTAATTGCTTATTCCTCGTTTTCAAGCAAGTGCACAGTCTGTACCACTTTGTACAGTGTTAGGTCAGTGTCGTACAGCACCAGTGCCTTAGGAATTAGACTGAAAATCTATCTTGTGCTTCAGAGTGCATGGTGTGTTTAGGAATGAACGCACACCCATACCTGGTATTGTGGCGTATGCAGAGTGGCGCCGGGGATTGTATTTACTCATAAACGTCCTTCTTTCAAACGGGCTCGGCACTGGGTACAAAAAGATTCGAAAAAAATATTTTGATGACACGGATCACAACAGCAATAAGAAAAACCCTCTTTCCAGATTTTACTGTTACAGATATTTCTTTTCAGCAGCGGAAGGAATGAGATGGGAAAGCATGCAAGACTGGGTTCACACAACATGAAACTCAGTAAAATGTATAATTTTAATTTCAGCAAAGATACAAAGTACAAGAAAAAAAAACTAAACCAACTGAATGGACAGGACTCACAATTCTTGCACATAGCACTGCCAAGATATTATTAACATATAACTTTCATGCTTTCATAGTATTAAAAAAATGTAAACCAAAAATTAACGCAGCATTACACGATTGTTGTGTGTGCTATGGCAAGTCTATATATGTCATCATTGTGCTATATCACACGCAAATGTGTGAATACATGTGCTGCTGGCATATTACTCTGGTGCTACCATTTCATCTCTTTACACCTAACCTACTTGTGAAGTTTTCCTAATGTTTTATAGCAGTTTATCAAAAGAATTATTTAAATCATAAGTTGAAAAAAAGTTCACTTTTCAAAATATTCATGCAAAAATCAGCATGATGGATTTTTGACTGACTGCCAAATACCACACATGCACTACTCTAGTCTGCTGGCGGGGCAGCTACAACTCAACAAACAGGACAGAGGTGTTGTGGTGGTGCTGGTAAGAAAACTCGCCATCATATTTGCCAGTGAGGTGCTGACATTTTCATTTCAACTGTTCAAGTGTTTTGTGTCTGGAATGTCTGAAACCCAGCAAGGATGACACCAATGCAAAACTAGAAAATGGGGCAAGGTGCTTACATGAGTCGGGGTGTGGCTTTTCCTCGGCCACCATTAGCGCCGCACGCTCTGCCGGGGGCATGCGCTGCTCTAACGCATTCACACAGTTTAGCATGCTCCTGGAAAAGAGTCAGCATACCTGGTTTGGGTGAGCTATGCAACAACAGCACGGTGAGGGGGGAGAATCACACAACTCGCACCAATTGAATGAATTTTTCCTCAAGGAGAATTAGAAAACTATCCTGGGCAAAACCAAAGGTAAATCAGATATTTTCCTGGCAACACCCAGCTCGAAACAACAATTACAACCTAATTATCTTCCTGCTAAAGCTTCTGATCAGATTCTGCCATACCACTCACGTCTGTCTCTTTTCTCACTGATGTCACCTCCATGCTCCTGTAAGCGAACACACTTCAATTAAGGATCCTCCTTCGCCATTCATATATTGACGTCTTCTGCTAAAGGTGGCAAGCCTCAAAGCAGGTTCCCGATTCATGTATAAAATCTGTCTGCATCCCACGCTGTAATGCGTTGAGTGTGCGCAGACTTCCAAGAGGGGATCAGAATGCTCTTGTCACGCTGTGTGGCGGGTGTGTCGGCTGACCTGAAGACTGTCATAGTGCAACGGGCAGCCAGTTTCCCCATGCATAAGTTTCTCAAGCGATATGACACGTGCCAACAGATTTTACATCCAACCGGAATCCTGCCTTCAGGCAAGTTGAGGTGGAGCGACAAGAACATGTTACATCAAACAGAAAACATCTTTGTGTTCAGGAAGTTGGGGAAGAAAACATTCTAAAACATCTGTAGACCAGTTCTGTAACATAAATGCAACCATCTCGACTGTGTCAATTCTCAGCAAGCTTTCAGCAGTTTATAATTGTTTTTAATGGTCTGTGGAGTTGTATCTCTGAGAAACACCGGTACGCGTTGCTGGCTAACACGGCATGCCGCCTCAACACAACTCCACAGCACGACTGCTGTGAGAAATGTGAACAAAAGAAACAAATATGAAGGTCTTCCTTCTCACATCCTTAAATTCTGTATCTTGTCACTATACATGTGTGTTGTCTCTTTCGTTTACTAGTGTTACAAGTTTGTGAACATCTGCAATCTGATTAACAGAAAATTGGAGAGATTTTTAAACAAAACAAATGGTGCTGCTGCAAGTGTGACACAGCTTTAGTTTGTTATAGAATAACCCAAACAAATCAATTCCAGAAAAAAATATATATACTGTTCAGGCTATTTATGTGTTTATATAGAAGCTTTTGGTGTTATGACTGTGATAAAAATTTCACTTCCAAGTCTGGTCCACCACAGACACAAATGAAACAGGGACGCATGCATAAGAAATTAATAAACTAAACAAATGTGGGAGAGCCTAAGAGCTGGAAACATGCACACACATTCAAAGCCTTGCCAACAGCAGGGACTAGGAGTGATGAGACGGGTAGTACTTAAAAGAGCAGCATGCAGCGAGATTCAAGCTACTCACCCATACAACCTACTGTCGCGCAGACTGCCCCTTGAACCACAGTAAAGAGAGAAGCAGATTAACAACATAGCACATCTTGCATAGAGATCTCTTTTCTCATCAAGATATCTCTGCTGAAGAACAATTGTGTTGAGATATGCACAACTTAGTTGAGATATCTGTAATAATCATGAATAAAACTGAAATAATGTACAAACCAAAAGGTTCTGTTATGATATCTGAAATATGGGACAGTTCCAGGTTTGTGTGTTGAGATATCTCTACTGTAGTGTATTTACCATTGCTGAGATATTATAAAATACATGTAAAATTAATACTGAAATGTCTACTACATGTAACATATAAGGAAAGTCCTACTCTGCCTCTGTATCAGGCATTGTAGCAGCAGACAGAAAAACCATCTGTGCAGCACAAGTAGTAATATTTTAGATGATACCATATTACCTGCTATGACAATACAAAAGGTCAGAATGAGACAAGACATAGTTCATCTCCTGAATTCAGTAAATGCTGAAGTTTTTTTCTTTGTAACTGATGCCTGCAGGTACACAGTCTGTTTATTTGCTTCCTACATTAGGGTACAGAGTCCACTTCTAAGGTGTAACACCCAAAAGGAACATTGTTATTTCCAGTGAAAGGATGGGCATGAGAACGCTTGTTGGCAGAGGAGACGTAAAGCTTAATGTAGACTCAGAATCATGCGGTGATCCAGTATTTTTCGCATTCCCAAAGTTTCATCTTTGGCAGGAGGTGAAAGTTTCAGTATATGAGCAGGCAAATTTGGCCAGGAATCAAACACAAGACCCTCTGAATGAGAGACCAACAAGTCAACTGCAGGTTGAATTACAAATTACTTAATAATTTACTGCAACAAAAAAGTCAAAACGAACTTCTAAACATCACACTTACTGCGTCAAGTAATCAAGTGCTCTAAGATCCTAGCTGTTGTATTACATTCCTAATGCCTTCAGCACGACCCCAGAACTACAATGTTTGGATAAACATATAGAGACTACATTTTGCGGTTTCTGCAGGAATACAATATTGAGGTTGGAAAGCTGGAACGTTAGACATGAAATTCAATATAATATTCTTATTACTGTTGCAAGAGATTAATAAAAAACAGATGTAAAATTTGGAAAGCTAACGAGTTACTGCACATGACCCTACATATCTGACAAATGAAGAGAAGAGCAGGTTATTGAAGTTGGCACCACTTGACCCTTAAAATAATATCAGAATTATGACTAGCAACATCAGGCACCTCATATCAACAAGGATCGTCCCGATAACACGCGAGTGCTTCTCCGTATTCTTAATAAATATGACACGACAGTTCATGTAGGATGAAGTGACACTACTCTTCAAAGGAAGATTGACTGCAAAAGGGCATGAAGGCAGTGCATCAGGCAAAGGTGTTCACATCGCATGCCATAAGATAGTGTTGTGCCTGTATTGGTTTTGTGAAATATTTCTATCTCTGTCTCACACCATCGAATTGTTTAATTCATTTTATGGTGTAGTTCAGTACAAGGTGTGAATATACCAGTAGTTCAGACAAGTGTAGATTTGCAACTGAAATTTCATCATAGTCAATTCTCAGTTTATAAGAACCGCACTCCTCATAACAATAAAAAAAATGTTCAAAGCATATGAAAATCAGCAATCTAAAACAGTTACATAGTTACACAGTGGCACAAGCTGGCTATTGGAGCAATACCCCCTTCAGACCTAAAAACACTTCAACTGTTTCCATGACAATGAAGAGTTTGGCTATTACAAACTCCCAGGCTGCTCATGCCTGTGCGCAGGCAAGACGCTGAGCCATCAGCTGCGCGTGCAGCGATGCGAAATGATGCAGACTCATGGCAGGGTTAGAAATTAAATGCACTGATCTGTAGTGATGCTACACACAGCAAACTGTTCTTGAAACATACTACACCATTCCCACTCACAGAGCTTACCTTCACACGCTTACCTTCCTGCAGTGTTCAAGTGTATGACTACTGGTCATGTGAGTAGTTATGTATGGGGCACACATGACAACACAGACAATACCATGCACAACCACCTGAGGATGAAGCGGAGGAAAACTAAACACGTCCCTGCGAGCATACTTACGATGATCCCCCGTTATTTCAGCAACTGTCACAGCAATGAAAATTAAGCATGACATACGGTCCCTGGTCTAGCATTACTTATGTTGGAGCATCAGCAGAGAATCAGCAATGAACTCTGAATCAAGTTTCGGGAGGCGATCTCACGACCAGGACCACTTACCTGCCATTCCCATGCCTGAATAGTCCAAGTATTTCCTCAAATGTCTTGTTTTTTGTCTCAGGAACCTTCTTGTATGTGAAGATCCAAAAGATGGCAAGAAAAGCGCTGAATGGAAGGAACGTGTAGTTCTCCAACGAATTCTGCAACCACGGAAAATGCACGTTCAGCCGACAGAGTAATTAACCTTTCACTGTCAGCACATAACTGTCTATCAGCCAAAATACAACCAATTCATAGCACACTCCTGTTAAAAATTAAAAAATCTGTGGCGTAACAGCTCCAGAGAGCCAAAGCCAACTAGCTTGACTGCTGGCCTCACGTTCACATGCCTAAGCAGAGGTGAACGATCATCCAAACAGATATAGGGTGACGTGTGGTCAGCACGACGAACCCCCAGCCATTGCTAGCTTTCCTGACTGGAGTACAGTCCTGTTAGTGTTTTTAATTTTCATTAGTTGTGTTCACTCCAATTTATTTCCTGATCATTGTAATACATGCTTACATATATGAGTATTAGAACTACATTTCCAATCATTTGTTATTATTTGTCATTACAGGGAAAAATTAATTTCTATTAAAGAACATTTCAATGATCACTTTCAAACAACACATGCCTTTTGCAAAATGAAAGGACAGTGCATTTTCTTTCCACACTCATAATTTACATCTGAATCGCTAATTTCTTACCTCCTTACAGTCCCTCTCAAAACAGAAAGACACATTTCAGCATTGCCATAGATGCCAGGACTGTATAATGCACAACGATGCCCCAAAACAAGAACAGTTTTTTCTCAATCATAGATTTCAAGTACCTATGGTATTCCATTTTGTGTGTCCATAGTCTTTGTGGTGTCCATAAAGATACACACAACAGCTAAGAAAGTCCAGCGATTACAACATTCCAACTTCCCATAATGCTTTGCTTCATCTTACCATCATACAGGGTGTTTCTAAAAAAACAAAATAAAAAAAAACAAGCAGATTGCAAGGAATTGCCATGGAATATTTCTGGCTGCCTTCCATTCTGCAGCTGTGTGACCTGCTCTTCTCGCTTCATGGCATGATCAAACTGGATTACTGGATTACCAGGGTCCTACCTCAACACTCTGATTAATATTAAATACAATTAGAAGAGTCTGGTAAGAAAAAACACCTACCATATGGTTTCAATGCAAGGGAGAAGAACTGACATAGCACAAGATGTTGCTGTTTCACTGACTGAGCTGAGACCACACTATTCTCCATTCTAAAGTTGTTCCAACAGTAACCAATATGCGACAGACACACACTGCAATATCACCAAATACAGCAAGTGACCGACTTACTCCTTTCTACGTTATTATCAACCTTATCCCTTTCAGTTTTGTTCTAAAACCATATGGTTCTGACATTTCTTCACTTATATCTTTGTATCTGAGACATTGATGTCCCATAACACATCAAATTGGAGGCTTGCACTGCAATGAAAATATGGATTCTGGGAACAATTCAAAGGAACATTATCACCTCACTGGGAAGGTGGAGACCGTAAGTTTATCGTGGTTACCTACAGGACTGCATGGCAGAACACCAAATTCCACATTTCATAATACGCATTAGAAATGTAAAAAAGGGATGTGAACAAGATTCTCTCTGCCCACTACTGGTCTTTCTTCAAGAACAGTCTGCAAGGAAACACCTCTGCAGTGACAGGACATTCATTCAACGTGATACCATGACAAACCGTGAATGAAAATGACGTAAGCGAATACCTTCATGGTTGGGAAGCCAATGCCAACAAGAAAGTTGGCCATCCAGTTGATCAGCACGGCAATGGACATGGCAGCAGGACGCGGACCCTGGGAGAACAGCTCGGCAGTGATCATCCACGGGATTGAGCCCGGACCCACGGCGAAAAACACGACGAAGCTCAGCACCGACACGACTGACAAGTACGACATCCAGTCGATCATTTCCTGGACGTAACCAAAAAACTCCTATCAGGCGATGGTAAAGTGTTCTGCTTTCCCAAAATGCTGGAGGAGACAAGGTACTAAAACAAAACAATCTACAAAGTAAACAATCCTCCTCCTTGGTCAAGCACTGAAAAAAACAGACAGGCAAAGTGCTATGTGTGCCCCTCCTCCAGACAATGTCAGGAAAGTTGTCATGGACCAGAGAGGGAGGACAAGATAACAGGCAGTGAAGGTGAAAGCAAAGCAAACACCACATGCAAACCAAAAATGTGACAGTACATCAGAAGAAATAATATCCTCACTAAATTATCTGTATACACAGAAACTAAGCATAATACTACAGAAAAGATAGGCCAAGTCATGAAATACGCCACAAGCAGACGGGAACGGCCTATTTATGGCTGTAACATCCACTCCCACTGATTTCCACTTGTTCTTCTGTTTGACATACAGATGCAGAAGTGCAATTTGACTCTTTTGTAGATGCTGAAGAATGCTTAAATGTTAGGTTGACAATCCGTCTACACGATTCTTGGTTTCATCACGTGAAATGACCAGTTAAGGTCTAAACATGTAGTGGATTCTTAATGAACGCTGAAACTATAATCAAGAATCGCCATGTAGATGGCGTCAACACACAACAGGATGCATCCCTCAAAATGCTTTAATGTAATCATCTTACAAGCGACAATTATGTACTGTACAAATGCCATGTGGATCCTGAAACTCTAGAAAAAGTGACATGACTTGGATTGAAACTCAAAAGTCTTCAGCACACAAAGCATTGCAGGGTGAATGCAACATAGAAAGACTTGGATATGCATGCAGGCATACCAACAAGATGTATCTGATGACACGCATACCTGTACAGTAACTGCAAAGAGAAACAACAAGGCCATGTTGTGGACATACATGAACACGAGAGCTTGATAAGCAAAGCATCGTCTCCCTTGCACTACATATATCAAACTGATCGAAGCTCTTAGTCGTGAAGACAGTTTAATTTGTCTGCTGTACAATGAAAAGTCCTCCACAAACTACTAACCTTTGTTTTTCCACTTTTGGGTTTTGGCACCTTATTGTGTCCACTGTCAGTCACTTTATTCTGCTAATTTCTCACAGCACAGTGCCATCACCAAAAAATAAAAATGTGAATTTAAAAAAAAACTTGTGTGGATTAAACTAAGAGCATGAATAATCTGTCACACTGCAAACTTATTAATCCTTACTAAGAATATTACTGTTTGCATTTACTGAACATGCAATATTACATATATCCCAGTCTAACAGAGTCAATAACGTTCGAACAAGAACAAAGAAGTAATAAGACAATTTACAATCAAAAGGATAGTATGTCATCAGCTGCATAGAGGATTAAAAAGGGGCAAGAGCTCTACATTAGACCACTCACCCATCATCAGTTGTCTGCGTGATAAATAAAGCATTACAACAAGAGACGTTTTCCACTGCTGGAACACCAACATTTCCAAGACTTCAGCACGCTCTACTCTGATTTCATAATTTCTAATTTAAATGAACGCGTTTAAATTGTTACATACTATGACAACGAACCAAGAAGACTTTCTTTAGACAGTACCAAAGCTATTACAAATATTTCATATACTGTGTGTACAGTCACTCAGTGCCCTCTTGACTGCATACTTTTTATACAAGGCAGGTGAACCGAGCCATCACACTTGTTTACTTAGATTAAATTCTGCATTACTGAACTCTGCTTTGATAATGTGCAGTCTAAAACACAGGTTTTCATATCACAGAACCAGACAGACAGAAATTATCATTGACAAAAGACTACAATCAACAAATCAACCTTTGTGTCACACCTGGAAATTCTGTAGCCTCTAGCACTGGCACAGCTTAAAACTGTCATTAGATACCCCTGACAAACAACCACCACCACAAAATCACGAGTCTGAGGCGACCAACTGCGGCTTATGTTTCAAGGGAGGGGGTGGCTGTGGTGATTCATAACACTGCATTCAAGTACTGTTAATGACATATCAGTAATGCTGGCTTCTATTTACATCTTCCAAGCTACCATTAGCCCAGGCTTATTTTAAAGTCTGAGCATTAATACGAAAACAATTCCTCTACAATTTGTACCTTCTAATTATACTTGCTGCAAGCAAAGGGAAACAAATGATGGAAGAAATGTCAAAAATATATAATTAATTCTTTCTTTCTCCTTTTTCTTTATCACTCATCACTTAACCTAAGCATGATTTTCATGGCAGTGAGTAGGAACACACGGCTGTCTTCCAGGTTATACTGCCGTGGTCTGGTTATCAATGTTTAAGAGGCCCTTGCTGCCTCCATCATCAGAGTGACTACACAGAGCTACAACTCAGTTGACAGTCATCTTTATCACTTGTTTTGACCTATCCTTCACCCCTTCTTCTTACTATTCGTGCGCAAAATATCCAGATACAATTCAAAACCAGCATATAACTGAACACAACACCTGCAGCACATATCTTAAATAATGACCGAGCTCTCAATTTGTATTTGTTTCCCCCCCCCCCCTTGATAATGTAACAACCAACATTAAAACAGCGAATTCCAGCAGTGTTTGGTACACCTGAAGCAGACCAGACCAGGATGTCCCCAGGTTACGTTCCGAGCAGCAGTTTGTACCACTTGAGCACACTCGATGTAAGAAAGAAAAAACACGTCAGGTGTCCAACACTGTTTCCAATGGTGGCCATGTTTGGTCGCCCCCCCCCCCTCTATTTACACACAAACATGTTTTGCCACAGCACATAGAGAGTAACTGCTGCACTGAAAATTCTAAATATTTCATGGCATCGAACTGCAAATCTTTGATCTGTAAGGAACAATACCACTAGTCCTTCATGCAAAAACATAAATCAATGGGCATGAAATAAGCTTTAAGCTTGCGTTACCTTCTGTAACGACAACTGAAATGCATTGAGCACATATCACTTTAAAATTCTATCCAAGAAGCTACACAGAGCACCCCTCTACACACCACCACCACATCTTGCTCATCAGACGTGAATTGCGTGTGCTACAGTACAAACCTTTATAAGGAATGAGATGGTAATGAAAATGGAGAAGATGAACATGCCCCCAAGCCCGTAGAGGTGCAGCGTCCGTCGCCCAGTGCGGTCCATCAGTGGGATGGACACCAGCGTCATCCCCACCATAATGGCCCCGATGCCGATCGTAGCAAACTTGGCACTCTCTTCCGTGAGCCCCGAGCTGATGAAGAGTAGCGTGGAGTAGTAGAACACCTGCAACATTTCCAGTGTCAACATGTCCGTCTCATCAAACTACACCAGTTTAATTCGTACTTATCCTTTACGCAGCACACATCTGAACAACAGAAAAACAAACTCTAGTTTTAAGAACATATATTTTCCCACTATTCTGAATATCACGTTCACATCAATGCTCATCAACTACAGATACAGCACACACAGTTAAAAATCATACTGTTGATAAATTAATTAGAACCGCCAACTTCACATTGTAAGGGGCATACATATATTGTTAAGTATGTATATACTACATTAAAAATGCGAGAAGTGCTGGCACTTCTGAGAAATGACTAATTTTGGTCATATTAGATGGACCTGTCTGAAGCACGCGCTAGAGGGGCATCAGCTTCAGTTGGTTTGTAGCTCTAGCCGTATTTAGATCGGTGCTTTACCACAGCTGAGGCTGTGCGACCCCCACTACTACTGAACTCCCCTCTCTCGGCTTATAGATTGCACATTTAGGTGCCACAACTACACGTACGACCTCAATGTACTGTGACCATACAAACTACTCACAGCATTGATCCCTGACAGTTGCTGTGATAGCTGCATCACAACTCCAATGATCAGGGGTGAACGCAGCGTGGGTGAGCAGATCAGCTCCATCATGGATATGGTGGCCTCGGCTTGCTGCGCCCGTTCCTCTGCCCTCATCTCCTCGATGTCCTCTTCCACCTGGTTTGATGCGCGTAGTCTCCGCAGTGCTGCAATACAGCATGCAGCTTGTAATGCTACACTAAGAGGACATTTTACAGCTCTACAACACTGTTCCAGTGCATCTCGATAAGATGATGAGTCAATACGCGCAATTACTGCTGCATTTTAAAATTCAAATATTGATGCTTTGTATGACAATATGTAGCCATAACTTATTAAAAGTGAAAATCTGTATTCCAACAGAGTAAACATATTTTAAAACATATTCATTATGATTTTACATACTTCACTGGACTTGCTTACTGCAGATCCAAATTTGCTGCTGTAAACTCTGAAGAAGAGTAATGAGATAAAACTCTACTGAGGTATACAAATATATTCTCAAGTTATCGTGTTATTAAAGAAAATGGGAAATCTTAATGAACAACAGTTTTCTGATCACAGCGAATGAAAAGAACAACGGCACCACACAAGCGGGTTTGGCCATGTCAAGCTTACCTCTCCTGGCTTCCTCTTCCCACTGTTTGGTTATGAGCAAATAGCGTGGGGACTCTGGACACCAGGGCAACAGCGCAAGCTGCAGGATTGGGGGGCACACTGCGAGACCTGAACACAAACACTGAGTTGTATTTCCTGTTACAGTGAGAAACACATGGGGCTGGCATAACTGCAAACAAGTTAGTAAGAACCACAGCAGCAAGTATAAAATTACACTGAGTAAGATGTGACAATGATTATGGTGGTGATAATTATGATGATGATGGAAGCAGAGACAGTTTCTTAAACAACAGACAATTCCAAGCTCAAATGGCAGACTTCATCACACTAAGTTGCTGTGAAGGCTTAAAACCTAATATGGTGGGAATCAGCTCCATGTTATTTGACTCAATTTAGGAAATATCATAAAAGGCGCAGATACAAACGTAAACAGAACTCTATTCCGCACTCGCCTAGCAAGACGGGCCAGCCCTCATCGGTCCCCAGGATCTGCTCAATTCCCAGCACCTGGGACAGCAGCAGCCCCACAGTCACTGCCAACTGGTTCACCGTACCAAGACCACCCCGCAGATTGAGAGGAGCAATCTCCGAGATGTACATGGGCACAAGTGATGTGTTTAGACCTGTAGATAATGAACGACATGAATCCTACTGGGAATATTACATTCCAATGCTGTTTAGGGAAATGAATGGGATGGATCTAATATTCAGCAAACCAGAGTTTCCAAAATGGAAACTACTGTATCTGGCATAACTTTGTTCCCACAACTTCAGAAAATAGATTCATAAACTGCACAGCAGAGCATAGCAGTAATATCAGTTGTTAAAAAAAAACAATGTTCCATCTACACTAAGACAAACTATTTGGAAAGCCAAGACAAGCTAAGAATTACAATAGCACAACAGAGGTGCGTAAACAGACATCAATACAACATTTCTTACACTGTAATGTTACTCCAATTCAGCAAACAGGGAGATGGAGTTTTAGAAAGCAATTTCTCAAAGAGATCAGCTTTAAAATCTGAGACACTGGGATACCGCTGATGTATCTGAATATGCCTGTGTCAATACTGTTGTAGCTCCTACAGACAAGAGCATGAAGGAGACTCATCAGACTAAGGCATTTCCTGAGCTGCATCTTACCACAGTTCACCCCAATGATGAAGCGGCCAAGGAAGAGGAATTCGTACAACTGGAACAACTTGGTGCAACCCATCAGCACTGCTCCGACTATCCCAAGCAGATTGTTCAGGAGCAATCCACCTTTTCTGCAAAAAGAGTTTGGAAGTACGATTTAATCAACGTGTACTCAAAGGTCATGATATGTGTAAACACAGGAACTGTTTCACTGGACAGAACCTTCCAGCTGACACCACTCCATCATAACAAACGTAACTCATCGCCCTGAAGATGGGAAGAAGCAAGGATGTCAGAAACATATGTAAAATTCTACCAGACTACACTGTGCAACAACCCAGAAGACAGCCATCTTCAAACATAATTCAACTTTTTATTTACATCACTGGCAAGTAACAAGAGGCAGTGCTTGCCTCACAAGTTACGAAAATGTAAGATGGTGTAAAAATATGTACGTCAAAATCTAATATTCATACAACTGTGTCCAGAGATACACACACACACACACTCATGCACAAAGAAAATACACAGACTGAAAGACTTCAATATTATGCCACAGGAATTGTAATGCTGTGTAATAACCAAGAGTTAAAATTAAGGGAGACATTTAACCTAACCTATATCATGTAAGAATAGACGATTTAAGCTGCCAACCAGACTTCAGCTCTGGGTTTAACAGTTTTGAGGTATACTAGTGTGGCCCATAGTTAACTAGACCACACATGACCTATTCCAGACAAATCTCCCACAAAGTAAAGCTGTCCCACTACACACCGTGAAGGTGCTTGGGGAGAGAGGAGGTACAGTTCCTACTTGTTCTTGACCTCAGCATTAGAATGGGGTGAGTAGCTAGCATCACACCCCAGCTATGCCTCACCCCCAGGAAAGCACCCCAATACCCACTGGATAGGAGGCTGGGTGGGCCCCAGAACTGATGTGGACACTAGAGGCTGGAAGAGAAACCCTCTGCCCATGCCAGATACTGAATTTTGGTTGTCCAGTTTGTAGTAAGACACTAGCTGACAGAGCTACCCCAGCTCCTAGAGATATCATATGTAAGACTGAAATCAATGAGTATACAAATCTAATATCACAACAAATAAATTTTATTTGTCCTGCTACACAATCTTCAACGCCATTAAGAGAGCATCATGGCCAATAATATATAAAATTATTATTTTGTTTACAATAACATAAAGGTCCATACAGGCTGATGTAACCAATCAGCATCTCAGATTTAGCAATACAGTACTTTTGTTACCATATCTAAATAATCATCATCGTAGCATTCATACCTGCCGAATCTGTTCGCTATCATGCCTCCACAGAAGCCGCCCAGCATGCCCCCAATGGCAAATATAGAAACAGCCAGAGAGTAGAGTAGCTTCACAGAGTCGTCCTGAATGTCCTCCCCGTAGCGGCTCTTGTACACATCCTTCATGAAATTCTCTATGTTCTGCAACATGCACGCACATGCTATGTGTACGTAGTTGACTTACGCTACACCATACTACTGGGGAGAAGGTTGCTGAGTTCCACTAATTTCGCACTATACACACGTGCTTGACACTTGGCATATGGCCATTCCCAGACCTCCTTACTAAATGAGTTATTTGTGAATTCCCTCCGATTTTAATATAATGACACCGTAGGCCAAACTTGTGATCGGTAATATGGTGACAGGCCGAAATACAGAAAAGTGCCATGGAGAATGAATGCTAAACCCACTCATTATCAGTGACAGAAACTACATCAGTTTGCCGTAAAACATTTTAATACTGCCCCTGCTTGCAGAAAAATATAAATGTGTTACATTTAAAACCAAAATGTATTTAAACAAAAAGAAATTTCTCAAGACAAAGAAGTGAAGTCGGAGAATTTTGAATGTCCTTTGGAACACTCACCACTTCTGGGGCATTGATAACTCCTGTGTTGTAGCCAAACTGCAACATGCCCAGCACTGCAGCAAGAATTGCATAAGACAGGAAGAATGTCAGTCCCTGCAACATGACAACATTTAACCTGTGAGGTCCTTTGCATATTGCGCTAAGTACAGACACAAACCAAGACTGTGCCCTGCCTCAACACATCAGCCTTTAAAAATGTGGGTCATTAGTTGAATTAACACAGGTTAAATGCAGTGCCTGGATTCAAATTTGCCAAGATATAAGCAGAAAATGTATTAAATGTGAATGAGATCATGAAGGAGGGAAGATGCATGCCTTAAAGGTGTTCTTAACTCTAAAATGTCAAATAAGTAACAAATGCATTCAAAACAATCAAATACTCCATTTACTTACTTTTTGTAATCTTAAACATCACCAATGGTACCGAGATGAAATCACAAGGCTTTGTTAGAATTGTGACATGTGGAAAAGGTGAATGAAACTCTTAGAATGGGTTCAGGCTTCTCCACAAGTGGCTAATACGAATGAAGCTTATAACGCTGCACAAGCTTTTCAATGACAGAGACAAATTGTTTGATATGCTGGAGAAAATGCGTCCGAGACAGATTTTATTAGAAGGTGAGCCATGTGAAGTGTCTGAACACCTGAAGCTGAAACAGCATGAACTCTTCGTAACTGCTGTCAACTTCCCTCGCGATGTTCACAGATTCCTAAAATTAGGGTACACACAGGAAGGAGCAGAAGGGAAGTAAATAGAAGTGCTGGAGCACCCCAGCAGGGTCAGTGAGCAAAGCGAGCAGAGGAAGGAGCCCCGATGCTTTCATGATGACAAAAACCATTTCCGCCAAGAACAAAGGCATGCTCTGAAATATGTTTCAGAAATGACTCAACAATTTACGGAGTAACAAAATATTTATCTTCTAGAACTCCATAAACAATAAAACTATTATTTTATTCTCAGAAAAAATTTATCACGATAAATAAAAAGGTTTACAGAAGCCTTCAAGAGGTAACCATGATCTGCTACAGAAGTTCAAAGCCATCACTATACTTGAAGGCTTCTGTTTTAATAAAGGTTCTCGATATAAAACTCAGTAAATCATCACTGACAGTACTGCTGGCACAAAACTCCAGAATATCAGGCAGACATTCTTACAAAAACTACACAACAGAGTTTCTGGTGCTACAATGGATGAATACGCCTGCAGTTTCCTTACCACCGCAACCAGAATGTCGCTGAGCGCAGCTCATGACGCAGAGGAAGTCTGCATCTGTGACACTGCCGCCAGCATTTTGCTCCTCTGCCATGCATAAATAAAGTATTACATCACAGGTACACTGAACAAATTATTACATAAAATATGTGCATTATTTTATTTTAAATGAGGACTTGCTCTTGAAAATAACTAAACAACACACACATGCTTTACACTGAGAGGAAGTGACGCACGGTTAAAACTAATACTGAAGTATGTTGTGAAAAGATACATATTGCACCAATCTTCTCTCTTGTGGGATGTGTCGTCCAGCATGCATACATTAACAAACACTACAAAATAAAAAAACATTCTGCCAAGCACGCAAAGACCCGCATCATGCCTTCACTGGATCTTGTTCACACCTGCTCAAGGAGGCGCAACTTGCGACGGTGGCTCTGCTCTCCGAGCCGGTCCACGTACTCGCGCAGCTCCTCGATCTCCTCTTTCACTTGCTGCACCGTGTCGAGCTCGTGCTTGATGGCCACCATGTCACGCTTCACCTCGCTCACCTCGCTCTGGCACGACTCCACCGACTTGGTCAGCTCCTGCAGCTGTGACCGGATCTCGCACAGCGCCACTGTCGTCTCCAGCTGCCGGTCGCCACGCTGCAGCTCATCCAGCTTCGCGCTCAGGTTCATGCTCATGACGCTCACCTGCTTCTGTAGACTGCAGCCATGCATGGTCCTAGGTTACACACTACGCATGGCCCTCGCGTTAGCCCCAACATGACATGACTCTACCAAGTATTTGCTTATGGCAACACAGTTTGTTCTTTACACGGCGGTCCACAAATGTCGCAAACATGGCTATAGGAGGCACAATACCAATAAGAGCACTGAACTTAATATAATCCTAGGCTGTCTCTCAAAACACTCACAAGAATCTGAATCACAGATTCCTGGAAGAGCATTTTGTCATTTCAAAACACTATATTACAATAACATTCTAAAAGGCTAGTTCAACGTTAAGTCTTCTCACTTCATCATCAATAAGACCAAAAACACAGTTAAGCTCGCTAAACATTTGTAATACAATAATGAATCCGAACTTGAACTCTAATAAACAACACACTCAGAGCAAAGGTTACATGTTCGTGCAAATTCAAGTGCAATAAGCTTCAAAACTATTCACACAGACTGTTGGCCCTACTCACATGCAGGCTATAACAACTTGAATGCACAAAATAGATTTGCTCATGTGGTTGTCATATTGCCTGCCCATGAGCGACAGAGCAACACGACAACATCTTGTAAACACTGGCAGCAGCCACCAGTCAATCTGATGGGCGGGATGGAAGGAAAGAAAACAAGACCCCAAGAAATCGTACCTCAACGCAAACTGCAAGTCAGTATGTGACACAAGTGGAAGCATGTGTGCAGAATGCAGAAACTCTGTACCTGGGTACATCATACCAAGAACTGGTTCACAACCTCTGTTCCTCACTTCCATGAAACCAACTGTCATTAACATGAACCGTGAGTTATTTAACAACTGTACATAAATAGATTATCTCACAGAAACATTTTTTTAAATGACTGTTCTAGTGTGTTCTATTTTGGTAAATTACCTTAAATGTTCCAAACCATCTTTAAGTTACAATAAAAAATAACATTTATCACTAGACTGTTTACACATTTTGAACTTCATGTTAGTGGATTACCACCCGACATTTGTGCGACAGAATCACTCCAGTAGACATCATAGTCAGTCCTCCCAATTGATTTAATCATTACACTACCCACATTAAGCACCCACAGTGTTTGAGTAAGAGCTGGGGCTAAATTATAGCCTGGAATCCAGCCACAGGAACTGTGAAGATCAGCACACAGGAAAAGGCAACTTTTGTAACTGGAATATGTTTTTATAATACTTCGAAACAAGCATCAACTTCTTTCAATTGCCAGTAGCAAACAAAGTTAAATTATACTAGTACGAGTAAAACTAAATTTGAGTCTTAAAAATACAGCTGGATTAAAGCTGACCCCATCTGGTCCCCTAATAAACAAAAATACTTTGTTGAGCTTTGAGACAGTGAAGTCTCATGTTGATGTCTTGTAACAAGGCCGCAAGAAACACGAGATCCACAATTCCAAGAAACTGCCAAAAAGCAAGCCCAAGAGCAGATCCAACATAAATCTGCGTTATTTCAAACTGAATACATGGAAATCCACGCATCTCACACAGCTTTCCGAATAAAGCTGCAACTGGAAGTACTTCATCATTCTACGTGTGCGTGTGATGCAGTATGCTATCACAATCCTGTTCTTCAAAACCCAGAACACAGCAGGCAACAAGCAATTACAGTCTTGAAATGGTAAAAAAACTGATGGTTTGAACGCTACAGAACAGAAAACTGAGGCCACACAAGTTGAATTCCAAAACATTGTGCAGCCATACATCCTGCCCCACAAAAAAACTGCAATGATAACCATGTGAGATGTGGCGACTGTACCTCTTCAGTACACTTTTTCAATAATTCTCTCTGGATAGAAACACCATTTCCAATCCACATGCAAATTTATGAAAATCAAAATACCAGACTACATCAGTTTTAAGTAGCCTCTGCCTCGTTCAACACGATTTATAACGTGCCTGCCCATGTCAAGATCGCGATTCAAAATCACAGAGAAACCCAACCAGTTTGACATGATGAGCACTGCAAATCTGCTGACACACCATTTCAAGACAGAAAGACTTGCTCGTGTCAAGCTGGTGTACGTACACTTCATGCAATGTTTCTATATCCCGGACACTGCTCGACCCAGAAACAAAACACAGGGACTGGGGTGATTTCACAAACAAGAACTATGCATTACATCTACTAGTATGGCTCAGAATAAAGTCAGCTACAAGGAACATACTTCCAGTTTCTTAAAATTAGATGCAAATGACATTTCTGACCGGAATTGTACATCAAGCCAATGTATGATGAAGTCTGGTATACTTTATTCTGTGCCATGCTGTAGAGGAAACCATCACACTTTAGCGTATCCAGGCAGCCCAGAGCAAAATTGCAGTACAGAAACATGCCAATAACAGTTCATCTAAGGAACCCTTGGGTAACTCAGCACCCACTGATGCCAAGCAAATACAAGCAAAAAAAGTGGATCAGATGACTAAACGGGGCAAAAGTAACCAACACGTCAAGATCAAAATCTTTCGAGGCTGAGTAACTGAAGATGAGAGGAGGTAAAGGGTAAATCAGCATCTACATGTCAATGTGAGGTATGTAGGATTTGAGGTTTTCACAGCAGCGAGTCTGAATATTGCTGTCTTCTATAAAATGATTTGTCTGTGTTCTAATAATGACACACGTAACAGCCCGTCATTTTAGGGAAGGCAGTACTTGATTTTGTTGATATATTTGTAGCGTAATAACAGTGACACAGGAGAAGTAAAGAAACAAGAGATGGATATTTACCCATGTTCCAGGATTGCCTCCACTATGAAAAAGAAAAAAGATAATGGGCTGAATTTATTGAAGGAGGGAGGTAGCCCAGTGCTGGCACAGCCAGTTGAATAGCTATTCATTGTTTCTCAAGCCGTTGCGTCTGCTGTCAGTAGCGTCACATTACTGCGCATAATATAACCCCATGTGCTTCAGTGAGCACAAGTACCAAATAAATTTGACAAAGACACTGTGCACATACAGTAAGGCCCAGAATAAAGTACACCAGCGCACATCCAGCTGACGCGCCCTGCCTGCGTGGAGAAAACTTTAAGAGCAGGCACAAAACATGTTAAAGCTATAATGTGGGGACAGTGGAACTGGAATTAGTATTTTATCACCACGGAGCTCAAACAAAACATTGATTCCACAATTTCAATCTACTTACTTCAATAAGAGTTGGTATCTGGGATTTCCTGTGTGTGCTGAAACCAGAGAATATCTTGCATTTATTTTCCCACACTTCTCTGCCCTGTAATGACGTGAATATCAGTACATGCCAACATGCTGTAGTACAACTTTTACAATCAACTTTTGAACAGTATCTTGGTGATGCCAGTGGCCCTCTTTCTAAACAGTGATGTGCAATGGAGTGCATCAAGAGATGATGGCTGAATGGCACTTCAAAAACACGAGAAAAACTTGATTCCGGAGACAGTACATCCGTGAATAGAGCGATGTCACATGATCCTGGAGGTGGTGCCTTGTGAAACCACGAGCAACCTACATGTCTTAACTCATCATACCTCGAGAATCTAGAAGCATTCTGTCAGAAATCTGGAGAAACCCACCTCATGAATTTATGTGTTTACACCACATGAATTCAGGGGTGGTCTAAAATAAGCGGTCCATAATTCACATGAGGGCACAAATAAAGGGAAAGTGCCTTCCACTCTTAATGCATCTAGACAGCTATAGTACAAGATTATTAAACAATCTGACGTTTGCAACACATGAGCTACTCCGAAGTCCTGTAATTTGGCCAATCTGAGACTGAGTAGCTCGTGTGAATGAATATGTCCACCCAGCCAATATAACAATTAAATTACCGCAAAAGTAAAGTATTTACTGCTGTCAAGATCTGATTTACTGTCTGCATCTACTTGAAATTAAGGCACAGAATGCAGTCTTGCAACTAACAACCACTCATATCTGTTTCAGAAAACTCCAAAAAGCATTCAACTGGCTGAAATGGAGATGTGAACTGTTTTATGAAATTAAATTTTATTTATTCTGTGCATGAACCTGTTCTTTCTAGCAAATGAAGCTAATGCCTCCATCACAGTGCATGAAGACATGACTACGCACGCTACTACAGACTCATGCAGTTAGATAAATACAAATGACAAACGTCAGCACATTATAACATTTAGCAACAGAAGAGAGGAAGTGACTGGAGCATCATGTTCCATACACGAGAAAATCAACTCTGGTCTCTACACCTGGCTCATAAAATCGTATCATTCAAGAAGGCACTGACGGGACCGAGTCTTAATGTGAAATCTTTGTGTCAGTGACAGTCAAGCCAATAAGAGGCAAAGCACGAAGGCATGCAGCACGTCATACGGCCAACACGACCATGCAGTACACCATGCACAAAAGTCTGTACTCCAAAAGTAAGTCACACACATTTGCCCTTATTCCACTGGGCAAAAGAAGTTGCACATATGATCTCACAAAAGGCTACGTCTACCATGCAGTTCAGCTCCCATCTGCTATCTAAACAAGTAAACATTAAAATACACAAATTTCAAATTTTACCTGTTGTTTTGTGTGGGTGCAAAACTTGGTCTGTCACATTAGGGAAGAACACAGATTTGGGGTGTCTGAGAGCAAGGTGATGAGGAGAATGTTGTCCCAAGGGGGATGAAGTGACAAAGGATGGAGAAAACTGCGTCAAGGAGCTTTATAAATTGTACTCATAAAATATTATTAGGGCAATCAAATCAGGGACAACAGGATGGGTGGACATGTAGCATACAAGGTAGAGATGACAAATTAGTACAGACTTTCAGTCAAAAGAATGAAGGAAAGAGACCACTTGGAAAACCCAGGCATAGGCAGGTGAAAAATATTAAAATAGACATGAAAGAAACAACATATGAGAATGTGCACTGGATAAATCTGTCACAAGACAGGCACTAGTGGCAGGCTCTTGCGAACACAGTAACGAACCTTCAGGTCCCATGGAAGGTAGAGAATTTCTCGACCATGCGAGCGACTGCTTCGCAGAGTTGGGTAAGATATGCTTCTTGAAATTACAATTCATCAGTATTTAGCAGGAAAACAAAATTTTACATCTCTTGTTCCAAGTGCAGCTTCTCCAAAGAGGCAAACAGCAATAAGTACTCAGTCAGAATGAAGGTGGCCACACTGTGGGCCTCCACGGCCCTAACAGTTGCCCTTACTTTTGGAAGTACAGTGTGAGACGAGTCTGTGTCGCTGAGGCACGTTACATACCTCACAAGCAACTCCCTGAGAGTGGCCTCGTCTTCCTCCTGAATTTCTTCCTTCGTTTCATCACTAACCTTCCTCCGCCGGGTCGTCGGGCGGGTGTCCCGAGTTCTGGCGGTCAGCTTGAGCTGTGGGGATCTTGGTGCGGTTGCCTCAAGATCGCCACCGTCGCCCACGGCAACATACTCCTGCAGTTCCAGAACTTCTGCTCCGGGAACCGGATGGACCTGCGCTTGAGCTACCTCCCTCTTGTGATGATATTGTTGGTGGACCACCACAGACTTTCTCATGGATTTAATCCCTGGTCTTGTCTCGCCCATTCTCCTACCTGAGGACCCAAGCCATTACTACCACCACCACCACTCGACATGCTTATGCAATGACCCTCAGTTCACAAGGACAGCTGTCGTACGCTACAAAAGTTACAGTTTTAATTAATTTACTTTTGAAGTGAACAGGAAAGTGGAAGGATTCACAACACAAGAAGCATTCTGGTACACAAATTTTAATCTTCCTCACGCTACCATATTTCCCCCCTCCACTTGGTAAGCAGCCTTTGTTTGTAGTGTCACCAGTCAACTAGGAACTATAAACCGAAGCTTGATTTGTGATGTAATAAAACATTTACACCTTTTACATAATACTGTGTACTGCCACATGCACTGACAGCCAATGAAGTGTTCCCGCTCATGCTGAATACCAGGAAATCCTACTCACAGACTCGTATCTCACAAAAGTGTATTTGGGATTTGCAATCATAAGTTTTTCTGACGCCTAAAATTGAGGTGTGAAATATGTTGATTCCATTGTTTTGGCAAGCTCTGTTTTACGTTATTATCGTCAACAATATTTTTAAAGTTTATGCTATGTGCCCTAAAGCTACACAGACTTTCAGGACACAAAAAATTAAAATATTATTTTAGGGCAATGATATCAAACTGGAGTTACGGCATCTACAAAGGTCTCCATCACATTTCTGAAACTGAAATGCAGCAAAAATAAGGGACACGCACTAGAACTACTTCGACAAAGAAAAAAAACTGCTTCCCCTGAAGATAAAATGATACAACAACAAATAAATTTCATGTTGTATTTAAGAGGAAGAAAGCAAAATATTTTTTCATAAGAACTGAAGTAGACTGACAACCAGTGAACTACGTGCGTCTATTCAACATAAAACCAAACGAATAACAATTTCAAAAAGCTAAGCATAACAGCAAAACCTACTGCAAAATCTGGAATAAAGTAGTACAATCGTATGTTTCGATATTAATATTTATTGTATGTCAAACATTCGAATAAATCATCTGCTGCAAAAGAATCATCACAAAGGTTCAGTGTTCAAAGTCAGTGGGACAGACGTGGAGCACTGCTGACAGTGGCTGCCATCTGCTGGAAAGGCAGAAAACTGTGCTGTGTCAGTACATGGGTCTGTAAGTGAGAAATTGTACTCAGATTGGACTTTGGGCAATCCTCTGGTAACTTTGATTCATTTCCCAGCACATTACATCAAACACTGACGCTGTTTGCTCTAACTGCCACACTCATCTTCTGCATTCTGGATGTTGAATAAGCACATCAATCGTGTCTCTCTTCACGCTCGTATGAGGTGAACATGCTCAAGTGTCAGAATCAGTTGGGGCAGGCTGATGAGACACAAACATTCAGCGATCCACCTTTGCATTCATTCTGTGAATAAGATAACACACTAACAAAACCATTTATTTTGAACTAAAATGTATACATTAAACATTTTTCCATATTCTCAATCTTATCCAATAAACCCTAATTGAATTTACTGCTATGGAAAGAAAATTACTCCATTAAAAACAAGGTTTAACTGTGAAACA